CCCTGGATGGGTGGCCCGGGCAGCCGGGCACTTACGGGGGGCATCAAGGTGGGGGTAGCTGAGAAAATTGGGGGATATGAAGGTGGTGCCCCAAAGGAGGAGTTCTATGTGAATACTCATTTTTAAAAGTTTGATTTTTTTCCTTATAATTGTGCTGGTTTGAATGCTTCTGATTAATCACACAGAGGTCTGTCATGACTTCAGATTTTGTGAGAAGAACTGTTGGATGCATAGAATCATGGAGTCATGATAGATCATACAATGGTTTGGGTTGGAAGGGACCTTGAAGATCATCCAGTCCCAACCCCCTGCCCTGGGCAGGGACACCTCCCACCAGCCCAGGTTGCTCCAAGCCCCGTCCAACCTGGCCTTGAACACCTCCAGGGATGGGGCAGCCGTAAGTTCTCTGGACAACCTCTTCCAGGTTCTCACCACCTCCACAGTAAAGAACCACTTCCTAGGAAATTTCTCAAAGGTCTTTGTTGTCATCGTGCCGTGTAGGTCTTACTTGCTTTGTGTTCAGAGCTGATAAAAATGCTTTTAAAGGCATAGGTGAGAGTGTGATGTGGAAGGGAAGGAGGACTTGATCCTGACTGATAATGAAAAGAAACCCTTAAAAGCAAAGAGAGCCTGGGACATAGGTGGTTGGGATTTAAGGGCAAAGTTGGTGGACAAAACGAAGCAAAATTATATGTAGGTTACAGAGGGGTTTGAGTGTGTATTTCAGAGTTGGTGACATAAAACAATTATAGTCTAATTTTCAACACTGGTATAACTTGCATTACAGCAGTGTTTTAAGTGCCTGTTGGGTCCTCAAAACTTAAGATCATACTTAAGATCTTTGTGTACGTGTCTTAAACTTACTGCAAAAATGAAGGCTGCTGACCAGAAAGGAAATTCAGCAATAGGCACGCTGTAAAATACATCAAACCGACTCATATTCAGCAGGGTTGGGCAACAGTGGTCTGTTGGCTGCCTATATTGGTGATGTTCCAAATCCAGCTGTGGGGAGCACAGGGAAAATTCAATACCAACGTGGATTAATGGAGGAGAAACAATGATCAGGATGATAATTGGAAAAGGAGAATAAGAACTTCCTAGTTGAAGGCTTCTCCTTATAATACAACTTTTAGTTTTCTCTCCAAAGTAATGTGTTCTATTTAAAAACAAGTTGTCATCTGCAATGACAATGGTGCTGTTAATGTTCTTATAGGACTCCTATATAGCCTGACCACAGGTCAGGTTGGACGGGGCTTGGAGCAACCTGGGCTGGTGGGAAGTGTCCCTGCCCATGGCAAGGGGGGGTTGGAACTGGATGATCTTCAAGGTCCCTTCCAACCCAAACCATTCTATGATTTCAAAAATCAACAACTTTTAACTATGCATAAATCCTTATCAGTGCATATTTTGGGTTTGTTCTGTTTCAGTGGCAGAAGGTGGTTAGCAACCAACTACGTTCAGTGGCATTAGGGTTTGATTTGATTGGTTTTTTTAATGTAGCAACTAGTTATAATTATGAGGTATAGTATATTTTTATGAGGTTTAATATACTTTCGATACAGTTATATTAACTAAAATACTTTGACGTGCTCAGTCACTTCATCCCTGAGCTTCTGATAAAGAGATGGATGCAACTGCTTTGGAGGGAAGGAGGTTTTAACGTAGGGAAAATCCCTGCTAAATAAAGTCTGACAATTCTTAGTTACGATTAGGACGGAATAAAAGAATAAATAAAGAATAAGGTATACAGAAAGTTTAAGTGCAGCAGCGCATGAAGCTTCAGCTATGCTTTTGTTGCTTTTTAAAGAGCTTGCTCATTGATAAAGAGAGAGATTCTTGTAGATTGAGAGTCTGTCCAGCAATTTTCGGTGGTGACTCAGGAGTCAGTACAATTTTGATCTCTATAAATGAGACATTAAGATATTTGCGGCAGGTCGTCATTTTGACTACAGCATTTGATTTTTTTAAAAAGCCTTTGATTTGCCACCTGGAAAATTTAAAAGAAACAAAGATGTAAGTTTTGTTGCGTGGTGGTCCAAAATGACAATACGTGATAAATATGATCCAGCTAATAAATGTAAATTTTAAGGGAGCGGATGTGCTTACGATGCTCAAGTGGGGTATCACAAATAGTAGTGGGTTGAAACTGTTAAACATGGTAAACTACAAACTAGGTGGAAGGATATTCCTAGTATGGAGATATGGGAGCTCTGGAATAACCTACCTAGTGGAGGGTTGATTGCTTGAGTCACCTAAAACAGGACTAAACAAAGCTATATTTTTTTAATGCACTTTTTTTTTTTTGCAGCGTAGGCTCTAAAGACCAATCCTGTTTGGGCAATAGGGTGGGATAACTCATTTCTTTCCAATTCCAGTACAGTTCTATGATTCATAATTTCCGTAATAATTATAAAACAAAGCAAATTGGTATTGAAACGTGTTCAGTGTGTGTAATGCTGTGGGGAAACAAACCCCGGGTTCAATAGGCGATGATAGGGATTTCAAAGTTAATACAATATATTTTCTGTTTGTAAGCTCGAGTATGTCCTCTCTTCACCTCAGCTGTAAAACACCTTTGCCTTTGCTTCTGTTCCTTGTCAAAATACAGTAAGCTGCCAATATGCAAATTGAATATAAAAGTAATTCAGAAAGTTTTGGACAGATCCAGGCTCTGGGCTGAGCTGAAGAAGCCATGTTAGTAAAATAGATTTTGGTCTCCTGGTTCCATTGCAAATCTGGGCGAAGAGAAAAAGATTGCTTAACATGCGGCCTTTGAGCTGAACGATGTGCATGACCGTAGCTACCAACCCCTTAAATATATAACATCCAGAATTACCAATGAAAAATTTCCAACTGTGGAAACTAAAAAATTTGGGGTGACTTTTTTGGATGCCGGTTCTGTGCTCTTTTAGTGATTAGCAACCAAGTGACTACATCGTTTGTCGTACGAGGCTTTGGGTTCTGAAAGCACTATCTCCAAATGCTGTTTTTTTTTAAATATTTCAGAATTTCACGAAATTAATATATACATATGATTTTCATTTTGCTTTCCAGATACCCCTTCTTTTTCACAAATAGAATTATGGTTCTTTCCAGCAGAGTTTATATGAATATGTGTCTCGGACAGAAGGAGTAAATGGTGTAAAATCAGGAGCAGCTTGGAGCAGTTCCCAGTATTGCCTTTCCCTTTGTCTTCTGCAAGTCATCCAGTGGCCAACTCTCTCCATTTCCTTATAGGAAATTGGTTGCTACTTCTCCATCCTCTCTCACAGAAAGAAGGAATTTGAGCTCGTTGGTGGAAGAGGGAATTCTAAGACCAGATATGATGTAAAATGAAGGGCAATAGTTCTTTTCACTAATCCAGAGGAGAGGTGGGAAGAAGGGAGATAGTCAGAAGTGTTTTCATCTAACTTTAAAGAGAAGAGGTTAATTAATGAAGTTGATTGTTGAGGTTGATGGGGTTTGAATTCTTAAAGACATCTGTAGTATTTTCATTGAGCAACACGTTTCAATGAAAAGCACTTAATATAAATATAAAATAGGATGAGGAGGAATGGTTTCAAACTGGAAGAGGGGAAATTCAGATTAGATATTAGGAAGAAATTCTTGACTGTGAGGGTGGTGAGCCCCTGGAACAGGTTGCCCCGAGAAGCTGTGGCTGCCCCATCCCTGGAGGTGATCAAGGCCAGGTTGGACGGGGCTTGGAGCAACCTGGGCTGGTGGGAGGTGTCCCTGCCCATGGTAGGGGGTTTGGAACGAGATGATCTTCAAGGTCCCTTCCAACTCTAACCATTCTGTGATAACATGTTGAAGATGAACTTTTACAGAGTGATAGCTTTGTGTGGAGTAGTCCCTGTTAAGCACATTTTTGGTTTGACCTGAGTTGATGGAGGATCATCTCCATGTTTTCAGGGCAGTGCCTGTTCACTCATTTTATCTAGTCCCTTGAAACAGGGGGAGTTTTGTGCTGATGTTTGCTGTATTGCTCCAGGTTGGTCAGCTAAACATTCTAAGAGGAAAGAGTTCCTTCTCCAGTAAACTCAGAAATGGACGTAAACTTCATCCACCCTGACAGTGGAGAGCACTGAAAGATAGAATCGTAGAATCTAGGTTGGAAGGGACCTCTAAGATCATCAAGTCCAACCATCACCCTAACACTGCCAAAACCACCACTAAGCCGTGTCCCTCAGCACCACGTCTGCCCGTCTTTTAAATCCCTCCAGCGACGGTGACTCCACCTCTTCCCTGGGCAGCCTCTTCCAGTGCTTGACAACCCTTTCCCTGAAGAACTTGTTCCTAATATCCATCCTAAACCTCCCCTGGTACAGCTTGAGGCCATGTCCTCTTGTCATATAGATAGAATATATAGAATATATATGAATAGATATAGGTATGAAGCTTTTAACCTAGCTGATGACTTTCTCTAACCTGTCAAGGGAAGAGACCTTACCTCTGGCAAGAGAAAGGCTTTGGTGTGAAGTCAGCAGTTAACCTGTTGATCTGCCCGGCGTCCTTCAGCATGTGCACTCTTGCCGATCGCTCCGAGCTCCTACGTGCTGCCTCTTGCCCAACTTGTAATGAGAGAAAACGGGAAGGAATTGGCAACATTATTCAGGTGTCTAAGGTGGAACTGGAGACTTTAGGAAGGGTTAGATCAAAAAGAATATAGAAGTGTGGTAGCACAGGGCATAGAAATTAGGGAATTGTCAAATTTAATCATCTTTCTACACTTGGTGTGTTTCTACATGACTGACAATAAAGTTGATGAGATTTACTAGGTGATAAATCTGAATACTGCAGAGGTCTTTTTTTTTTTTTTTCTTAAATTTTTTAATTCCTGCTTCAGAATACAATAGGTTTTGTCACATTTGAGGCTGGAAGCTATTTTACCTATCCTAAGGAATGTGAGAGTCCAGACAACTTTCTGGCTTCTTATTCAGACCTAGTTACTGAAGAATTTTGTTCTTCTTTTTCTTTTTCTTCTTTTTTTTTTTTTTCAGATATTGAAAAATATCACTTGGTATGCCGAGCGTGTCTTAACAGAGATCTCACTTGGGAGTCTCCTGATCCTAGTCGTGATAAGAACCATCCAGTACAACATGACACGGACGAGGGTAAGAGTTACGTGCAGCGCTTACGCACGTAGCGTGGATTTCGAACTTGAAGAGCACGAATTCAGTTTCAAACAGGGTGTGGGATTTTCTTCGTTCTGTTGCAACCAGTTGGCATCCGAATTTACAGCAGGGAAGGAAATGGGAAGATCAGCCGTATTAACTAAGCGCAACGTTAAGTTGTTCTGAATTTGTAACACAGTTTCTGTATTATCGTCCGGTTGATTGAGTAGGATTCTCTAAAGACCAATGGGAAGATCAGCCGTATTAACTAAGTGCAACGTTAAGTTGTTCTGAACTTGTAACACAGTTTCTGTGATCCGATTGATTGAGTAGGATTCTCTAAAGACTCTAATTTAGGCACCGAACTCATCTTTAGGCACCAAACTCATCTTTAGATGAGAAGTTCCTTAGTTTCATGAGAAGAAAAGATTCCCTATAGGTGGTTTGCCTCTTAAATTACTGAGAAGTTGGAATATCAGCTTTAGTTATTGTTAGGGTTTTTATGAAGTAGGACTGTGGGCTATAAACCCTTTTTTTGAGTTCTAGCAAAGCGAACCTGGTTCAACTTCAGAGCTTCATTTCAAATTGTTTGGTTTTGTGCATTTTTCAAGCATATGGTTCTATACCTTATCTCAAACGTGTAAGCGTGGTATCATATACTTTGGAATGTTTTCAGCAGTTAAAGGCACAGACATTTTTACATTAAAAGTAGCAAAAAAAAATTACTTAAAAATATTTTAAATGGGAAAACTTAAGGATTTAGCTTTTATGATCAGAAGAAAGAAATGAGGACATTTTTGGTATATATTTGTAGGAGTTGGAATCTGGGGTTTATTTTTGTAAAAGCATATTTTAGACTTGAATAAGGGAATAAATCCCTGTTGGATTGGATAAGTGGAGAAGTTTGGTTCTGTGAAAACCCTTGACTTCGGTAAGGTCATCATTTAAATGCTTATGGGGTCAAATGCTTCCAGAGATGCTAACAAGGGGACCGGGACTCTGAAGTATCGTATGGTTATAGTTGTGGGATGTATAGAACGCTTTGAAAGAGTTAATAAGGAGATGAGCTACGAAGCAGAAAATTTGAGGATAAGACTACAAAAAGGAGAGGAAGGGAGAGGACGAGAATGTCTTTCAATATTGGTTACGTCTGTGATGTCATTGTAAATCAACATTGCTAAAGGTGCGAAGACATCAACCTGAATCATTCTGTGATATATGTATGTGTGTGTACATATACACTCTGAAATTTGTAGGAAACAATAACTTTTTTGTAAGCCTTAGATTTTAAGGAAACATATTTAAAATGTCACCAAGTAGATACGCTTTGCATTTCTGCTATATGCTTTTGACCATGTCCTTTAAAGGAACATATATTACTCAGTCTTTCGAATGAATCCTGCAGTAGGTGTCGGTGTATATCAAAAGAGTGGTTTGATGTGGGTTTTTTTGCTTGCTTTTTCTTTCTGACAGGACAAATACCTTCACACGAATTGCCTGGCAGCCTTAGCGAATATGTCAGCGCAGTTCCGCTCGCTTCATCAGTATGCTGCTCAGAGGATTATCAGGTAAATATAAAGACTTCTCTTGAAACTCATCTTTGCTGAAACTCAGGAGTAGAGGAACTTGAATTTTATATGCCTTAATAGGTACTGATGAACTAAATAGCTGAAATGATAACTGAATAACTAAATAATCCCAGAATAAATCTTCTTTGCTTTATACTTGAAATGGTTCTGAATCCCCAAAAAATAGTAGTTTCTCTGAGAAACTTCGGACTTTGCATTCTCTTAACAGAACAGCTCAGTAGCTGCTTTCAAACTGGAAGGTTTTCAGGGATTTGAGTGAATTGTGCTTTTTTTGTTTTTTAGTCATGTATCACATTATTATAAAAATGCACTGAGTGGTGGTTCTCAAGTACCACACAGACTGGATTTTCAACTTGCTGTACTTCTTGTGTATCTGGCAAAAGGTCTATTTGTTAAATGAGACATAACACAACGATCCTTTTGTGACGAGGCCCTACAAATACGGGCAATAAAACCTACACCCGTGCTTTTCAACTCATTTTTCAACAAGTTTATTAGCCTGTATAGTAAGAAATAGTCAATGTCTGCCCTGGTTCTAAAACAGGGCTGTAACTTTAGAGAAGTGGATATTGAAGTTGGTCCTCCCTGTTTCGTATCTGCTGCAGACCACTTGGTAAAGGCAGGTAATCGTGCCTCAGGCATCCTTCTCCTCTTGGCAGCCAGCCCTGCTCCACGCTCCGAAGGAAACCGGGAAGGTCCCGCTTAATGCCGTGCGGAATAAACTGTTGTAGCGCTCATCGAGTACAGCCGGCGTGCCAAAAATTCATAAATGATAATTGCGTGCCTGTACGCTTTGTAAAGGACCGGGTTAACAAGAGATACATCTTGTTCTCAAACCACTCTTTAGGATTTAATTCTCTCCAAGCCCCTTCTCTTTTGGAAAAGATTGGTTGCAAAAGTATGGACAAGTAAGCAGGATGAATTCATTCTCCCATTACCTTTCCCCAGCTTGACGCTCACCCTCTTTTCAAACCCTTGGCAGTGATAATGAGGGTTCAGAATTTGAATTGGAGCTCTTGTCCCGTTACTTATCACAGGCGGTGTCTTAAATACTTGCTCTCTTCGTTTCTCAAATCATAGAGGTGGAGTTTTCCAAGCGTTTGCAATTGTTCACCTCTGAAACCGTAGATCCTGGCGTGGTGTGAGATACGCTACCTTGATGCTCACAAAAACTTGGTCTGGTTTTTAGTGTGATACTTCGTTTTCCGCGTCAGAGCTTTTTCCTGTGTTCCCGATTTTTGGTTTTATTCCATTTTATTCTACTGCTTTTTCTGCAGACCCAAGCGAGATGTGTTCCTCTGGTTCTGTTTGGGCCAGGAAGAGGTTATCTTGCTAGTCCCGTTACAGACTGCTCTTATCACCACTCAAAAATCTCGTAGTCATCTTGCGTAACTGCGGGTGTATTTGTGTGTGACTTGGCTTTTGTCAAAACTCTCTGAGTTTATGGACACCTGCTGTTCAAAATTTAAACTCGTGGTTCCAAATAAGCTCAGCTGGATTATTTTTGATTTAATTTGGTTGTGAAATGGCTAAGCATGTGGTCCAGGATGTGGCGGCCGTCAGTGGAGAAGCAGCACCCTCCGTACCTTTGCACGCGCGTCTCACCTCAACCTTTCGACTCGGAAATGTTGAGGAGCCTTTTGTGCTGGGAGGCTCCTCCCTACACCACCCTCTTCCATCCTTCTCACATGAGGTTTTTCGCGCGTCTCACCTCAACCTTTCGACTCAGAAATGTTGAGGAGCCTTTTGTGTTGGGAGGCTCCTCCCTACACCACCATCTTCCAGCCTTCTCACATGAGGTTTTCGCCATCTGTAATGGCATCTTGGAGGCAGATTGACTCCCAGATGTTCAAGACCCAAGGAAGGACATGCAACACCCAGAAATTCTCTTACACTCCTCGTGTGTAACATTTCAACAACGGAGGCAGATTGACTCCCAGATGTTCAATACCCATCTCAAGACCCAAGCAAGGACGTGCAACACCCAGAAATTCTCTTACGCTCCTCGTGTGTAACATTTCAACAAGCTGCTGGGATGTTTGGGTGCCTTATTCATCATCTCGCTAGCCGTGCATCGCTACAGTGTGACTTTAACATTGCTGCTCGATTTTTAGTTGTGAAATCGTTGTGCTGATATTCTTATGAAAGGCAGACAGACTTCTGTTGTTGCTTGACCCCAACGCGTGCGGAACGGAGGCGAAAAGGCCGAATGGCAGAAAACAGGGGAAAAAAAATCTGTCCCATTGCGTGAAGGACCAACGAAGCCACATTTGAAATGTGCCAAATAGAAAGAGAGACCTTAAAGCGAACACATAGCACTGACATATTCAAACTCGGAGTTTTTCCAAAGATTTAAGCTCTTAGTAGCTACCGTTGGGTGTCTTCTGTGTGGCTTTTAGCAGAGGGACTTCATGTGGGCTCTGAGCTGGGCAGCGTTACAAATAATAACCGAAAAATATCCAACCAGCGGTACAGTAGGATAGCAGTGCGAGAAGGATGCTGGTTATCGCAGCCATCGGGTGCTGACAGGGTTGGAGCTATATTTTTATGGTTGGAAATAATGTAAGGCTGGGTACAGAAACTGGACATATTCCTCAACTGAGGAAGCGAACTGAAAAGACAATATGATGTATATTTATCATATATAATATGATATTCTTACATAGTCCGAAGATCGTTCCACACTATTATTTTTCAGATTCTGCCTCGTTGTAGCCAGGTACTCTGTGTTATTATATAGTGGAAATTGTAATGAAGGAGGTGACTTTAAATTTGAAATAGGACCAGAAGAACCAGAGCAGAGTTCAGGAAAGATAATCTTATTCTGCGGGTAGAAAACTGTACGTCTGGACAATAGGCAAAAAGGGCCACCGAGACTGGGATTTAATTGGTCACTATGATCACGTTTGCTTCTAAATCAAAAGACCCTGTTATAAAAAAGTATTAAAATCTGTCGTAAAATGTCCTATGGGGCTGGAATGTGGACAGTCTGGAAAAAGAGGTGGTTCCGGGGGTGGCCTGTCTCCCCTAAGACTTTACTGCAAGCGTGGTAACATTTTCTTCTTAGGAGCTTTACAACCTTGGGTTCCCTGGCAGGTTTCAGCACCATTAAGGAACTATTTTAACCCCATTTCCTCTCAAAATACACAGATTTCTTATAAAGTTGTAGTTATCAAGAAAAACAATAGGAATGCATGTTTCATAAGAGATTGGTGTTTTGAGGCATAGGTTGTCCTTCCCTTTCCTACCTTATGACGTCTGTTAGTCGCTGTTATTAAATTTAGCCAGCGCTGATGGACCCAGCTTGCTCCACGATGCCAAAGCAGAATATTTCCATTTAAATTCCTGTTCTGGTTCTACCATCAGAGTGTGAGTGTCTCTTGAGAAAAGAAACCGCACTATGCATAAAAAGAAAGTGTTTTCTGTGACGGAAAAACCTAAAAAGAAGATGGCGCTTTATAGTAGATAAAGTATTTTAGGGTATAGGTTTTTAAATTAAGTAGCTGCGAAACACTTAACTTAAAATCTGCTTAGCAATACAACAGTCATAATTTAAGCCTCACCAGATGCTCTAATGATTCCTTCCTTAATGTGAGAAGTAATTCCATTTCCATGCAGCCTTTTTCCTAATCCTATTCTGAGCGGACACTGCCAATTGTTTTAAATTCTGACCTCTATTTTCTATGAAAGAATTAGCAGAGAATATTCAATATAGCGGAGTTCAAAGCTCAGTAAAATACAACTTCGTAGCGTTGAGTAAATTGTATCGCGTTCCAACAAGCATGAAAATTGACAGATTTCTATAAATCTATCACAAGCAGCTGCTGGAAGTAAAAATAGATGTAATAGATGTTTTATAATAAGATCCAGGGCAGTATTCGTTTAATGTTGGATGCCCTCTATCGCAGTCTGCCCTGATTTTGCAATCCTTCCCTTCTCTATCTGCTCTTACCACTGGTTTGTTTTTAATTGCACACAGCTATTTTATCAGCGCAGCGCTGAGGGTGATGTTGCGGAGCGCTGACACTTGTAGTATCTTTAAACTATATTGGTAGCCTATTATAAAAAAAATCAAATAAAATGTGTGTTGATGCCATTATTGTCACAAACGACTGCCGGAGGCAGCTGTGTAGTCTCGAAGCGACAAAGCACAACCAGGTGGAGCATTACATACCTGCGATGAGGGTGGGTTGGTTTTTTTCTTTGCTCGGTTTTTATTCTACAAGTACAATTACCAAAAAGTAAAGCCACGCACCGAACCGGCGTATGAGTGCAGGTATTCAGTTTTTCACCTAAAACTGTGACGCAGTTGGCGTTAATTCCTTTAAGCTATTTGGAAGGAGCTTTCGTGACATTCAGCATTTCTACAGCTCGCCTGCCCGCTCTCGGATGTGAAAGGAAGAGGAGAGTCTTTCCCTCAACAGCTGTACTCTGACATCTCGTCACCATGTCATTCTCCGAAAATTAGGGACAAGAAGCCGACCGATTACTTTACGGCAACCGCTTTTCCGATAGCTTCATATATTGGAACGTCTGCTGTTTTCTAAGCAGGCGTATACCACTAGAGGCTGCCATACACCTCGCTAATTAGACACGTACACTTACGTTAAATGACTTTATGGGGCTAGAAATGCTCTCCAGTTTTCCTTTTTTTTTTCCCCCCTACACTATCACCACGGCTGTTCACGTGCCGGGCTGTGTGAGCTGCTCAGCACGCTTCTCCCCGTTAGATGACTTAAAGATGGCACGTAATTATACCGATGTCATATTTTATTGATTTCTTTGGCTGTCGTAGAGAGTTTGGTGGGATTCGGGGAACGATGTGAAGAAAGAGGTTTCTGTCATCCTCCTGACGCTTATAGGAGCCAAGTGGAATTAGGAAAAAAGGTGTGTTTAAAAGGGATACAGGTCAGAGACTTGTCCATGCTGTAGGGTGCGGTATGTTGGACTCAAGCGTCCTCGTAGCCGTGCTGTACGTG